CATTGTCTCTATCAGACAGTCATATGAATTTCCTCTTTGCTGATCAACAGATGCTGCTGAGAGGAAACAAATTAACAGGAAACATACCAAAGAAAATTTAGATTCACAGAAATGAATCCTAATGGTAGATAATGACATTTTAAACTTTGTGCCAACATGTTATTGTATTCTCTATAAAAAGTATTGATCTAAAAGTCGTACCTCAAAGGATAAGTAATCAATGGATACAAAGAGTTCTCAAAAGAATTGCAAACTATAAACCACCATACATAAAGCTTCTTAAATTTATTAAGAATAAGATTCAACATGACTCAAAACCATTCAAGTTTAATCTCACACTTAAATTGGTAAACATGACAAGAGATAGAAATAGAGTTGGAAAGCTACAGAAAAAATATGCATGCCTATTCAATACACTATTGGTGGAGTTGTAAATTCATCTGACCATTCTGGAAAGCAATTTTAAGTTATGTTAAGAAATTATGGCAAAATACTTAAAACCTTTGACCCAGAGATACTAGTCATATGCTCCATGGAAGTCAGTTTCAGGAAGGAAGGTACCAATATACAAAATATTCATAGAGGCACTCTTTTGTGATAGCAAAGAACTTGAAACAAAGTTCATGCCTATCGGTTAGTGAATGGCTAAAAAATGGTGCTGCGTAAGTGTAATGGAATATTACTTTGTCATCTAAAAAACAGATACAATATCCAGAGAAGCATATGTGTATATATGAATTAACGCAAAGTAAAATAAGCAGAAGTAGGAAAACTGCATACATACACACATGTGTGGGTATAGATATAAATATATACTACAATGTAAATGGAAAGAACAACAACAAAGAACTGGACTCAATTCAACACTTTGTAGTTTTAATGACCAAGTATTGCCCTGGAGAAGAACTGAGAAAAGATACCTCCCTTCTTCACAAAGGTAGGGGACAATAGGTATGCAATATTGTATGTAGTATAAGACTCGGTTACTTCTGTTGAATTGATCTTTTGATATTTTTATCCTTTATTACAAGGGATGGTTCTCTGGGCACAGTAAGGGGAGGGATATATTCAAAAATAAGATTGATAAAAACAAAAGATATCAATAATTTTTAAAGAAATGTATTTAGTTTAAAGAGAAGCATAATACTTATCCTCATTTCTATCACAACTCATATATCAACATAATATATTGTCATTTACAAAGAATACTTGGGTGGAAAGATGTAGAAGGCATCATTCAAAGAGGCAACATGCCACAATGAAGAAGGAATTAGATTTGGAGTCAGAGGTTCAATTCAGTCTTTTTTCAGTCATTTTCAACTGTTTGTGACCCCATTTGGCAAAGATACTGGAGTGGTTTGCCATGTCCTTCTCCAGTTCATTTTACGGATGAGGAAACCGAGGCAAACAGGGTTAAGGGACTTGCCCAGGGTCACACAGCTAGTAAGTATCTGAGGCCAGATTTGAACTCAAGATTAGTTTTCCTGATTCCAAGCCCCGTGCTCTAGCTACTGCACCACCTAAACTTAGGTTCAAATCCCAGATTTGCCCCTTACTACTCATTGTTTACTTCATTGTAAAATAATAGTTGGACTAGATGACCTCCAGGGTTCCTACCTGTTCCAAATCTATGACTTGATAAGTCAGAACCCATAGGCATCTAACAAATTAGAAAGCAGCAAACTACCAGAGTTTTAGTGTTTGTCTCTGTGCTAAGTGCCTCTGCTCCCCATCCTAGAAGGGTGTGTGTATGTGTGTCTGTGTGTGTGTGTTCAAAATGTTGAATCAGCTACATTAGAAACTTTAAAAATGTTCAAATGAAACTTACATATTAGCATATCTCAAAAAAATTCTACAGTCACAATCTCAGAGTAGAAAGAAATGTCAGAGATAATCTGTTCTAGCCTGTCACCTATATCATAAGACTATGAGCTCATTAAAAGCAAAATATCGTTCACCCTCTATTTTAAACAAAAGGTTTAGAACATGTGTCAAACAATCATAATAGACTGATTTTGACTTCCTAGAATGTGGAAGATCAAATGATAACAGAGTATTCTAACCTCATGTCATCCTAAAATAAATTGACCACATCAGTGGGATGGAGTTGAGAACATGAGTCAGTCAACAAACTTTTGTTAAGTTCCTATTATGTGCCAGCATTGCGCTAAGGGCTAAGGATACAAAGAATGACAAAAGGCAATACCTGCTCTTGAGGATCTTACAGTCTAATGGGGGAGACAATATGAAAGCAGCTATGTACAACAAGCTATATAAAGAATGAGTTAGAGAAAATTAACAGAGGGAAGGAGCAACTAGGTGGTACAGTGGATAGAGTGCCAGCCTGAAGTCACAAATAATCATCTTCCTGAGTTCAAATCTAGCCTCAGACACTAACTAGCTGTGTGACCCTGGATCAGTCACTTAGCCCTGTTTGCCTCAGTTTCCTCATCTATAAAATGAGCTGGAGAAGGAAATGGCAAACCATTCCAGTATCTTTGCCAAGAAAACTCCAAATAGAGTCATGAAGAGTCGGACATGACTGAAACAACTGAACAACAGAGGGATGGCATTAGCATTAAGAGGGATTGGGAAAGGCTTCTTGTAGGAGATAGATCTTAAGGAAGAGTTGAAGTGAGTCAGGGAAGCCAGTGGACAAAGATGGAAAAGGAGAGAGTTCCAGGCATGGTGGACAGGAAATAAAAATGCACAATAAATTTGTCAAGAGATATTGGTAACATTAAAAAAGAGAGAGCTCATCATCGGTAGCTTTAGAGAGAGCTGTTTCATTTGAATAATGAGGTCAGAAGCCATGCTTCTTAACTGCATAGTTAAGAAGAAGGGAGTGAGAGGAAAAGGAGGACAGGTATTGACTGAAGACAGACTATAGTTTTCTCAAGGAGTTTAGTCAGAGAGGGGAGAAAAGGTATAGGATGATAGCTAGCAGGGATAGATTTCTGAGGATGAGGGACACATGGGAATATTATCTGTAGGCAGTAGGGAAGCAGCCCATAGTCGGGGAGAAATTAAAAGATAAGCAAGACAGTGGAGATGACAGAGGGGACAGTCTGCTAGGAAAGACAAGGTGAGGTGGATCATATGCTTGTAACAAATTGATTTTGCCTTAGTGACACCTCGGCATAGCTCAATGCTAACAGAGTATTCCAACCTCATGTTCCAAAAAGTAGTCTGCTTTAATGGTATGGGAATTCAAGGGATAGGTGAGGGTGTTTACAAGGCATCACTAACCTTTCAAAACTTAAATAAGGAAGAGCACTTTCCATGGTCCCCTAAAAACATCCCCCAAATTCTAGTATAAGAATTTACCCCAGAATAACTATTCATATTGTATGTTGGAAGATACCTTTGAGGTCAATGAACCTACTCCCCTCATATTAAAGATAAGAAAATGGAGGCATAGAGAGGTTAAGCGATTTGTCCAGCATGCAAAGGCTAAGAACTGTCTGAGAAAGGATTTGAATATAGTAATTCATCAGGCCAAACTCAGTATTTGATCAACAATACCATACTCTCTCAATTCTGCTTCTTCACACTCACCATCTGGATTTCTTTATTTTGACTTCTGAAATTTTCCAGGATTCCTTTGGTTCCTTTTGAAATTAATTTATTTGTTCATTTTTTGAGAGTGCCTCTTCCAACTTTGTAGCCCTCAAATCTTTATATGATCATTCATTTAGAGCTAGAGGAAATTTTAGAGGTGATTCTAGTCCTACCCACTCATTTTACAGATGAGAAAACTGAGACTTGAAAAATGACTTGTCAGATGACTGGCTCAAGGTCACACTGGTACCAAGATAGGAGCCCAGATTCCCTAATCCCAGATTCAATAGTCTTTCCACTCCATCATACTGCCTCTAATGAAAAAGGCCAGAAACTTGAGAGCTACTGTCTGTTCAAGCAAGTGAATACTAAGCCTTCAGCCCTCAGCCCAACACAAATCTAATTCATAGAAGATGGCCTAGGATCTAAGAGTTTCCAGTCTGTGGTCTTTGTGTATCTGCTTACAACCTTTGCATTCCTTTCCATCAACAAACCTTAAGATTTTCAAATCAAAGTAATTTACCATTATGGGCTGTTCAAGCACAGTAAAAACATACACAAAAAGCAAGTGAAAAGAATGAGAGACTCCTTAGACTGAGAGGAGTATGCTTTGATAGCTGTGTGCCATTCTAGCTGCAGGGGTTTCCATTAAACATGACAGGAGTTGTGTGACTAAGACCCTGAACAGTGCTCTCAAAACATTGCCACAAATGTCTGAAATGAGAAGTCTTTTTTCTTTCTCTCTTTTTTTTTTCTGCTGCTCCCACATTCAGTGTACAGAGAGAGAGAGCCTTCTCTTTGGTTAAAGTGGCTCGGGCTTTTGTTGATTTATAATTCTTCAGGTGATCTTCCAGCTTACATCCAGTTAAGCCTGGGGAGAAAAGGAATTTCATATCTTGCAGTTTAGTCATCTTTCCCTCTGATCTGAGAGCCTTCTCCACGTGGGCTCAATACACACAGAGGAAGGATAGTGCTGTCATCTATGAGACTGCTCCATTAGAATAGGCTCACATTTACAGATTAAATTTTGTAGTCAAAGTAATTTGCTTTGACATTCAGTGAGCTCCCTTTCTATACAGATCTTTTTTTGTGTGTGTTTATTTGGGGCAGGGAGGGGTGGTGAAGGGAAGTAATCAGCAGCATGCGGGCTCACATACGAGAAATTCCCACAGAGAACCCCTGGAAGAGTTGTATTCTGTCTCCTAACCTAATTGAGCAGCTGATCTAACAATAGTGGACTCTGAAGCCAGAAGGGGTTTTTTTTTTGGGGGGGGAGTTGAAGGGGGAAGAAAAGATCCTTCTTGAAACCCTTTTGACATGTAAGGGCGTTTGTACTACCCTGTGCTTGGAGGAGAGTGGGAAGATGATAAATAATATCTCCTAATCCATCTCCCAGTTGATTACAAACATCTTTTTTTTTTCCCCCATCTCTCCTTTAGGTCCAAGTAAGCAATGTGACTTCAGTGTGTCAGCTCAAGGACCTTTCAAAGAACTTGTTTCACAATGGCCTCCTGTGTTTTACAAAGAGCAAGAAGCAACTTATCTGTGTTTAAAAAAAAAATAAAAAACCAACAACCACCACCACCAAGCATAAGCTGAGACACAAAAATAAATAGTTCCACTTGGCCTCTTCTTCCTAATAAACACAGACAGATGCCCAGGAGACCCTATCTTGGATTTCCTGCATGTACAGACAACTGCCAGGCCTTTGGAAGGTCCAAAAGGAGAAGTGTTGGCGCCCTCTGCTGCCCATTCTTTACCTTTACCTTCTGCATTCCACCTAATGGGAGAGAGCCTGAGTTATCGTGTCATCCAGTTCAGAATCATTCGACAGCCCTCCATCCACCTGATAGCACCAAGTCTCCTTAGTGTAGTTACAAAATAATAATAATGACAGTAACAATAATAATAATAATAATAATAATAATAATAATAAAATAATACCATGATGACCTTGTAACTGAAGTCTATATAGACGGCAGGTTGTTTGCCCTAAAGGCTGTACAGTACATACTTGCCTTAACCCATCAAAGTTGTACATCAGAGCAACTCAGTGCAGGCTCTCTGAAGTAACTTCCTTCAGGCTGCTGTTAATTCTGGGGAAAGCAAACCGAGTTTTAAGTCAGCGTGCTTCATGTCAGGGAACAAGAATGCCTAGTTCAGCAGCTCCAGAGCTTCTGCGGGATAAACTGCCAGCTGTCAGTGAAGTGCTTTACTGTTGAGCCGACTCAGTGGCCAAAAAGTAACAATAACAATAATAATCTTGATGATAACCTTTATAATGCTAAATAAGGTCTTGGGGAGGGGGATGTTCGGGAGGGGGGTGTTGGGAGACAAAGAAAAACTCATTAAACTACTAACCTTCCTGGAAACAGCTTCGTTAACCCCATTATTTTTATTTAGTGCACTCTAGGTGCTTTTCTAAGTAACTTCCAATATGTCTTTTACTAACTCCAGAAACATCTGCAGATTTCTATCAACAGAGGCCAATTGAATATGTATTAGCTATGTTTACTCTTTTATATCTAATTCAAATGGAAGATCTGATGTAAGTGAACCTTTCTTTTCTAACTTCCGCATATGAGATTATTTTTTGTGGGTGGGGGGGTGGGAAGGGGAAATAGTTACCTTGGTGAAATATTTGAGATCTCTTTGTGGTATTTGGGGGATCTGTTGTGTGTTAGAGTGTGTATTTTAATCTTCCTGTATTATTGTGGCTGAAAAAAAAACTGTGCTGTTATGTAGTTGGCAACAAGATGCCTTTGGGAACTTAATAGTAGGTCAATGTGTTTATGGAATACTCTGAACTCCTAGGAAATTTCATTTTGTTTTGAATCTGAGCTGTATTTTCAGGCACTATGTGGCTTTCATTAGCAGTTAACATATTTGTTCAGGCTTTTTCAGGAACTTGGATTGGCCTTGTTTCTTTTCTTGGAACCACCTTGGAACACTTCAGACAAAGGGAAAAAAAATGATGCCCTCCCACCACCGTTAAGGGGCAAGCAGAATCCAGGGCTTACAGCAGCTTATGTTGGCAAAGAATAACTTTTCCTAGTTCTTTCTCCTTGGTGGAGGTTATAAGATGACCTATATGGAACCTGAACCTGCCCATATCTACAGAATCAAGTCCTGTTTACTGTGTTTGCATGGATATCTGTATCTCACACACAAAAAATATATTATATATATATATTTATTTTAAAAATTGTCTAGAAAACAGAGGAACAGAAGTTCACCATTGGAAAGTAAGCTACAAAGACAGGTTCCAGGAATTATACTTGCATTTTTTTCCAGTGGCTTATACATGTGTGTCTATATATACATGTATAAACATAAAATCTCAAATTTCTCAGTGAAACCTCCTTTCATGCACATTTCTGCATGTTTGAGTAACATCTTGGGGAAAAATATTGATCCCAAGCTGGTCTTTTGACATCAAAACACAAATTCTACATTCTAAAAGGAATCAGAATGTCAACATGTTTATGAGATTCCCCACACACATGCTTGTCGTAATGAGGTTTTGCTGCAGTGTACATGTGTATGTATGTATGGGTGTGTGCATATCTGCACACCCAGCACAAAATAGGCCCTCATAGTCCTACTTTATGTTGCAGCCAAGTCACCATCACCCCCTTCGCACATTAAAACAAGAAATGATGTTGACTACTAAACAATGTTCAGTGGACAGAACTATCATGGGAGCGATTCTGAGCACAGTAGTGTGACTATATCTGGAATAACATCCAAGTTATACAGCAGCTGTATCCTCCTCAAAATCCAGGAAAGAATGCTATTTTTCTAGGCTGGGCTTTTGTTATAAAACCTAATATTCAGAAGGCAAGAGTTATGATCCTGATGTGTCCTTTTCTTTCTTTTTCCTTGGCATTTGTTAATTCTGAATGTATTTTTAACAGAAGTGATTTTTTTGACTTATTAGTGTAATTTGCATTTTAAAAATAAATGGAAAAAAAGAAACCCATTCAGCCTCTGAGCTCTCTCTTGGAGTCCCTGCTGCTTCTCACACAAGTTGTAGGCAGTCTGGCGATATATTAGACTGCGGAATCCTATTGCATTTACATGAAGGCAGTGGTAAGGCTGTCCCACACTGAAATGTGTCAGCAGTGAATAGAAATTGCCAGGTCATGGCATCATTTTAGCTCAGTCATAGGTAACACGTATTTTCATTATCTCCTGACACTAAAAGGTTTCTTTTATAAGACTTCCTGTAATAGACTTGCTGTCATTTGGAAAATGTCTTTTTATTTTGCCTACTCATCTGGAATTTAGAGTCAGTAGCAAGCTGACAGTTGTCAAAAGTGTGAGGCTAGTGTATTAAATACCCTTTGCTAAATTGGGCAAGGGGTCAGACATTCCCTCTGCCACCCAAGGAGATTATTTGAAATGGTCACTTATTTGCTCCTTCAGTACAGAAATGCATTTATTATGACTAACAGGAGTAGGTCTCTGATATCCATTTCAACAAATGACAGCAGTGGTATAATCTTTGGAAAGAGGAAGGCAAATAAAAATTATTAGAATTAAAATTTTTGAGACTTTAAAAGGAAGGGAGAAGCCCTCTACCTTTTAAGTCACTATAGACCTTTGACCCTTCAATGATAGTGCAAGAATTAGAAGGGACATTAGAAGCCATAATCCAACCCCTTCATTTAGTAATTGAGGAAAGTGACCTAGGTCACATAAATAATCCTCAGAAGTGGGACTCAAATTCGGGTCCTATGGCTTCAGAATTACTACTCCATGCTTATTTGAAATCAAAGAACTTCAGGTGACACCCATCAAACACCTTCTTAGACAGTCCTGATAAGAATGGGAACCAAGGATTCAGTTCACACACACCTGTAACGTTAAATTGGATCCAAAGTCCACACTCCTTCCTCTCCCTTCCATCCTCATAGCTCACAGATTGGATTAAAGATGCATCCTTAAATGTCCCCAGGTAACTAGACCCTACTGGGTCAGCCCCTTGAAAGTACAGATCTCTAGGCTTTGTCAGATAAAGCCAAGTAAAAGCCAAATAGGTTTGGGCCCTATTTCATATTACTTTCTGGATACTTTCATGTGGTTCAATTCTGCAATTTATAGTGTTTCTCATTCCTTAAGTGGCAGGTACCAAAAAGTGATTTGTTTGTTTGTTTAAGTTGAGAACATCAGGAAACAGAATCATTACCTTGCCTTTTTTTCCATCATTTTTCTGTTTCGTGAAGAAACCCCAAATTCAATGGAGAGTCACCTTGCAGGCCCATACCACCCAGTACTTTTCAGAAACAAGAGCTGGTCCCTTCCTCCTACTCCTTTTTCCCTTTATTCACACAAAAAGATGATTCCTCTTATGAAGATGAAAGCACCCTTTTCACAGGTTCAGGATATGGAAGACATCCATGGGACTCAGCTATCTTTGACAACGGTCTTTACTCTGGCCCAGAGAGATGCTGGGGTTCGTTAAGTTCGCTTGATTGGTGGACTAACTAGACAGTTCCCTGACAGAGGAGTCCAGGGTCTTTGTACTTTGCTTGTATAAGTTTACGATCCCAGGAAAGTCACATTGCAATAAGACCTATATTTGTTCTCTATTAAAAGAGTACCATCTTCTGTCTCTGATGAAATGAGATAGGTAGCAAATACTTATGTAATATAGATAGTAAAGTGAAGATTCAGTGTGGGCTGTTTATTACAGAAAAAAATTGAGGGCTGGAAGGAGCTATCTAGCCCCACCTTCTCATTTTACAAATGAAGAAACTAAGGTCCAGAGAGGTTATTAAATGACTTGCCCAAAATAATGTAGGTGATATATGTCTGAAGCAAGAATTGAACCAATGTCTTCTTGACTATAGGTTTTGCACCGTATTCACTAGGCCATGTTGCCTTTTGAGTCTGTGCATGGCATCTAGGGTGACTTAGTAAATAATGTTCTCTTTATTAGAAATATTGTGGCTTACTAAACAGACACATTAAACTTAGAATGAAAGTTCTGTGGTTTGTTTTTATAAAGAATTTACAATGGCCATAATAAAGAGATGGAGTAGATCTAGAACTTGTCCTCCCAAATCATTTGAGATATTCTTCCTTGAGAATCCCTGTATTTCACTTATAAAATAAGAAATTCAGCATTTGTTCCTAAGAAGCTTATATATTGCAAACCTTCTCTTTGAAATACAAAGTCTTAGGGGCAGCCAGGTGGTGCAGTGGATAGAGCACGGGCCCTGAAGTCAGGAGGATCTGAGTTCAAATCCAGCCTCAGACCAAACACTTGACACTTAATAGCTGTGTGACCCTGGACAATCACTCAACCTGAATTGCCTTAAAAGAAAAAAAAAGAAAGAAATACAAACTCTCAGGTGACAGTCCTCCTATGGATCTTCCCCTCCAACCATTCTTCATCACTCTTTATTCCTTCTTCATATCTACCTATGTCTACTCCAACAAAAACATGAGAAATCCTTAATTCTTCGATATATGCCCAATTTAAGACCTGCTTATATCTTGTGTGTCAACCAAGTGGCGCAGTGAACAGAGTGCCAGGTCTGGAGTCAGGAAGACTCATCTTCCTGACTTCAAATCTAGTCTCAGACACTTAGGAGCTATGTGACCCTGAGCAAGTCACTTAACCATGTCTGCCTCGGTTTTCTCATCTGTAAAGTGAGCTGGAGAAGGAAATGGCTAGTATCTTTGCCCAAAAGATACCCAAAGAGGGTCACAAAGAGTTAGACATAACTGAAAACAATTGAATAACAACAAAATATAGCGATTTAAGATTTGCAAAGCATTTTACAAATCTTATCTCATTTGATTCTCATGACAAACCTGTGAGAAAGGTGCTGTTATCCCTATTTTGGAAATGTGACAACTGAGATTGACAGTAAGAAATTAGAGGATTTCCCCAGAGTCACACAGCAAGAAATGTGTGAGTCAAGATTTGAACACAGGTCTTCCTGACTCCAAGTTTGGCACCATATCCCCTACACTGCCAACTGCCACCTAGCTGTTCTGTGCCAATTATTTTTGATAGCCATTACTGGGCCAAAATCTTGACAAGAAGCTTAAAGATGTTCTATTTACTATTTTAACAAAAACTACTTTATAATGGCTTCAAGAATCTATAGGCAGGATGATGTTTTCAAAGACTTTGCTCATATTAATCACTTTCCCTTCAACATAACTCACCATCATTAACTAAACATTGAGGCTGTTTTGACTTCATCCTGATGATGTTTTGATTCAGGCTGAAACATGAGATGATAACAAGACATCCCAATGTTCCAAGTGGTCTCCAATAAGATTTATGCCTGCTGGTGTGTATGTGTGTGTGTGTGTGAGCGCGCGTGCATGCAAGCGCAAAACCTTACCACACACTGAGATCAGAATATCCCCAAAAGATATAACAAATGAAACCAGAAGAATAATGAAGAAAAATGACAACTCATGGAAGGGGAATAAACAGTGTATGCCTCTGGTAAATAACTCCCTGAAGAACTCTTACAGAAGACTTACTGATTAATTGAATCAATCCATCATCCTTTTGGTGACAGCATTTTCAATTTGCAAACTTTTGTTGTTTTATTCCTCTACTATT